CCTACCATCTAAGGATGTATATCTCACTGTTGATGAGGAAGGACGTCCACGGGCCGAAACTGAGTATAGGGGAAAAACGGTTTATTTGCTGAGGTAAGTGGTAGGAAGTGTTGTGAATGTTGAGGTATGAATCAGGATATATGTGGAGGCTAAGGAGAATCTTATAGGGGTACCTACGGTTAAGTGGGTTAACGTACACTGCCTTGATCCTGAGACTGGACGAGAAGTAGTACGGTAGGGTTGTTGGAAGTATTACCAATGAGTCGGTGTTGGTGGAATATATGCTCGCTTTCTTTACTATGTTGAGAAAATTCGCAGGAATTTAGGTAGAAGTGTCCTGAATAGTCTCTCAAAATTTACGGAATTTTCAACTTGTCACCCACACACATTGTGCATATTTCCCCCCTCCCCATTGAGTGGTAGTAGTATGTCTGTTGCCGGGTGCGTCTTAGGGGTAGTATCAGTATATCATATGATACTCGAGGAATCTACTTGTCGTGAAAATTCACAGTCGTACGAGATTGTTCGGCACATAGTAGTAGTGGTAGCATGGCCATCTGGTATTCATTTTGGTGTTTTCAGATCGTCCAGAAGATCAAGCCGTGAGAGTCTCGGGAAGGCATCTGACGTCGTGGTGATTGATACTGTGTTTGCTCATAAGTTTCATCATATATTTGGCTTTTACGTTGGGGAAGGGAATTTTTCGCGCGCCACGAAATTATCTAAGTTGTTGTTGTTTCCTGCTTATGCCCATGGAGGGAAGTGGGTGTGTCGAGGGCAATAAACCCCATCTCGGGGAGAGCCCGTCCGGGACTACTACTCGTTCGAGCAGCCCTGCGGTGCCGAGAGGCGGCTATCGAGTTGTGGAAGTATCTGGTCGGCCCTTCGCTATCGAGATGTCTTGGCTACGGCCCTTTGAAACGTCTAAACTGTATAGGACCTTGGTAGAGCAAGAAGGTGAAGTTGCGGTTATTGCCTCTGATACGGTGCTATTTGGCATTGTCGTGGAGTGGCTGCGCACGGGGGTTGTGGAGTTGCCCCCTGAGGTTCGAGAAGAGGATATCGAGGCTGAATTTGAGTAAGTTTGGTATGAATCAATAATAATGGTCGGGTTTCGGATGTCATATCAACAGTGGAGTCTCATCTGTTTAACGGGAAGTAGTGTAATACTCCATTTAATTGATAATACGTGTATGTTTCCACGATCGTTCTCCTCTAAGGGAATCGTGGAAGAGGTTTTCAACTAGTGTTTTGCATATAACGGGTGAAACTCCAGTGATGTAGTAGTTTGTGATAAAGGTTAACTTTTGTGTGTGGTCGTTACTTGTGCGATGTGATAGATTCCTCGATTTACCTTATCCGGGGTCTTCGAGCGTATGTAGAGAGACCCTGGACCTGGAGACGATGCGTTTTGCATTGTTGGACATGGTTCAGAGGGCGGCTGATGACGCAGATGAATACTGCAAAGTAGAGGAGGGGAAGGGGGGCGGGGGTATGTTTGAAGGTGCTGGCTTTAGGAGAATCATGATGTTGATTCGGAGCTGGTGGTGTTGGTAATCGTGAGAGAAGTGGTGGAACGGGCAGTGACGACTTCACATTGGGTTAGTATCAGCATGGCTGATCTACCTAAGCGTTTGTGGGAGGTGAGGAAGGAGATGGCATAGTGGTAAAGGGCTTGACTGCATGCCAAGAGGTTGTCGGATCGATTCCTTTATGTGGCCTCTTGTAGTGCTCCACTCCGTTACCCGAGAGGCTAGTCAAGTGATTGCTGATCGTATCAGGATACTCTGAGCTCTGTGTATGGTTTGAAGATAAAGACTGTAAAGTGCGTAAATCGTCCGTGATAGTTCTCTCATTATCTCTGCTGGCTTC